ACTGTAAATATATTCAGGCTTAAAGATGAACGCTAAGCTACATGACACACTTTGGCCCAATCCCAAAAAAAATAAATAAATAAAATAAAAGTTATTAACAGCTATTCGCGCTGCTCTGTAGGCGATCCGGCCCATCTTCAGTGATAGCAGAGGAGGGTAAAGTTCAGCTCCTCACTGCTGGGCTTTAGTTACATTTAGGGAATCATGTGCCTTTAAACAGGGAGATACAAGACTATTATTTATTATCGCCCACTGCTAATTCTTTGGTGATATGAAGCTGAAGTCAGATATTCACCAGCTTCTTGTTCGAATTTTCCTGTTCCACCTTAAATAGTGCAGCAGTTACATTCTGGCGCTTCAGGCGTCAGAACTGCTGGACTATTTAAGGTGGAACAGGAAAGTTAGCTTGCTAGCTACCGAGACATTAGCATGCTATTAGCCATTTTTATGCCTGTTACAAAGAAAATGACCATAATGCACTGAAACGACATTAAACTAAGATAATACAGTGGTTATTGTTATTTTTAACAGAGAAAATTCTCACATTTGTGTGTTTCTTTGGTCTCTTGTTCAGCCGTCTTGCCTGTTTTTCTTTTTTTCTTATAACACTCTGTTCGGAGTCTCTGAAAAACTGTTTGGAGGGCCATGAAGCCCCAACACTTCACCCTACCCCTCTATCTCAACAAGAATTGGGACACCCTACCCTTAGACGTGAACCCGCAAACAGAGGGCTAAGGGCTCAGTGGTAGGGCGAGGGGTGAAATGGGATTGGGCCTTTGACCGTTCTCAGGACCCTGTGTTCTCATGGTTCTATTTTCCCAAGGCTCTATGTACACAGTGATGTACATGGAGTTCTATGTTCACAGGATCCTATATTCCCAGGGTTCTATGTTCCCAAAGCTCTGTGTTCCCAGGGCTGTATATTCCCAAAGTATTATGCTCTCAGGGCTCTATGTTCCCTAGACAATATGTTCCCAAGGCTGTATGTTCTCAGGGATGTATGTTCCAAAGTTCTATGCCCCAATGCTCTATGTTCCCAGGGCTGTATGTTCCCAGAGTTCTATCCTCTCTGGGCCCTATATTCCCAGGGTTCTATGTTACCTAGACACTATGTTCTCAAGAGCCTATGTTCCCAGATATCTATGTGCTCACATCCCAATGTTACCAGGTGTCTATGTTCCCAAAGTTCTATGTTCCCAAAGTTCTATGTTCCAAAGCTCTATGTTCTCAGGGCTGTATGTTCCAGGGCCCTATGTTCCATAGACACTATGTTCTCAGGGCTGTATGTTCCCACAGTTCTATGTTCCCAGGGTTCTATGTTCCCTAGACACTATGTTCTCAGTTCTCAGGGCTCTATGTTCCCAAAGTTCTATGTTACAAAGCTCTGTGTTCTCAGCGCTTTATGTTCCCAGAGTTCTATGCTTTCATGGTCTATCTTCCCAGGGTTCTATGTTCTCTAGACACTATGTTCTCAGGGCTGTATGTTCCCAAAGTTCTATGTTACAAGGCTCTGTGTTCTCAGGGTGAGTTATATGTTCTCAGGACCCTGTGATCCCAGGTTTCTATATTCCCAGGGTTCTGTGTTTCCACAGCCCTTTGTTCCCAGGGTGCTCTGTTAATTGTATTTGCAACATATTGATGACCTCCATAGGGGTCACTGTAGTGAAATGACCTCCACAGGGGTCACTGTAGTGAAACGATTTCTGATCTAAAAATGATTTTCTCTGTTCTTACATTTACACTCTTCTGTGTTCACAGGCTCAAACACATCAACAGCCACTCTGATCAGACGCCATTCAAAGACTCCTCGGTATCAGACGCTGCACATTCCGTCCATGCTTCTCATACCACCCACTCAGAGTAGAGACCATTCACATCATATTAGTGATATCACCCACCTTAATGAGAGACCACTCTGTCTGTTCTCTATTCCTCTTCTCCCAAAAGGAGGCCAACAACTGTAGCAGCTCCTTATAAGGGTTTTAACTGTAATGCTTTTGGGAAACTGGGCCTTGATCCAGGTGAAAGCTGATCCTGGATCTGCAGGAAAAATGAATTCAGATCCATATGAGAGTCTGATACTCTGATAGTCTGATGTTGCGCTTATACTTAATTGTTTTGGTGGCTTCTCTTTAACCTCCTGGATCTTCTCAGGACTTCTCGCCTTTGTAAAGAAAAGCACCATAAAAACGAAATGAAAGCAAACTGAGTACAGGATAAAAGAAAAAAAATCCGAGCTCTCTGACACGATGGTTCACACTCGTTTAGCTAAGTGACTCAAATCTGTCATGAACCGGCGTCCTGAAATGACCCTCATGCGCACATCCTACTCAGTAACGTCACGTGAATGAATCACGTTCATCATCAGCACAAACTAACGAGCAGAACGAGCTTCGCTGAGAAGATAATTAACCCTGATCAGCTCTCAGCTTCATTATTAGAGCGAGATGAAGGAGAAAAAGGTGAGATGAGCTGCTTTTCCACCTTTTACAGGCTTTAACTTCTGTTCGGCGTTGTTGCCATGGTAACGCTGAATGATGGCTCACGCACAGTGGAAAAAAAGCAAATGAATTCCGATCTGAGCGTCACATTAAGGTCGCATGGCCATGAATCAGATACATATCCGATCTAGGACCACATATGAAAGGCTACGTTCACATTAGCAGGTTGAAGTGGCACGAATCCGATTTTTTGCCCTAATGTGACTCAGATCTGATGTTTTCAGGGCTGTGTGGACACGCAAATCAGATCTTTTCAAATCCAATCTGAGGCACTTTCATATGTGGTCCTAGATCAGATACCTAAATGAGTGTGAACCATCGTGTCAGAGAGATTGGACGTGAGCAAAAAATCGGATTTGAGCAGCGAGGCTTGTGATGTGAACGTACCTAAAGTGGCTGAAAAGAGTACTATATGGCACCAAACAAAGGTTCTGGTATTGTTACGATGTCAAGCTTGTAACAGCAGAAGAACCCTTTAGTGCTATATAGAACCATTTACAACACATTCTACATCAACGTGAAGAACCTTTTCACCATGCGAAGAACGATTTAAACATAAAATGGTTCTATATATGACTAATGGTTCCTAATTAATAAAACCATTACCTTAACTAAAGAACCCTTAAAGAACCATGTGTGTATATTCCAAATCTGCTCCCAGATCCTCAAATCCTCTTAGTGAAGAGGGTTCTATATAGTACCAAAAAGGGTTCTTTGGCTTGTAACAATAGCGGAACGCTTTTTGGTGCGATATAGAACTCTTATTAAAAAGCGTTCTATATAGAACCATATACAACACATTCTCCATCAATCTGAAGAACTCTTTCACCATACACATCATACACATTTAATCATGCAAAGGGTTCTTTGAGTGTTCATGGTTCCACATAGAACCATTGTATTTGCTAAAGAACCCTCAAAAAAACATCTTTTGTAGGGTAAAACAGCTCCAACCACAATAAAAGTCCAGAGAAGCTGAAGATCTGGAGATGCTCGCCTACCCAGATGTGTTATAGAGCATCTTTGATCATTAAAAACTTACTTCGAAACACTTCAGCTTTGGAATTTTATTTTTATTTTAGGGTATTAAATTTAGTTTTCTAATTTTATTGTAATTTTTAGCTATTATTGGTAACATTGGGTGCAAAACTCAATCTATTTGTTATTTTATCTCATTTTATTATCTGTCAATTTTCTTTTCAATTCATTTAATTAACAAAAAACGGGCCCACCCTTATTTATTTATTTTCTAGTCAAAAAACGACTTATTCTATTTTCAGGAGATATTTTTTGGGGAGATGTAATAAAGGCCAAGTGTGAAGAACACATGGACAAAATGTGATATTAAATTTAGTCGTTGAGGCTTCTGTGGAATTTTCTGTTAAATGTATGTTTTCTGTATTTTTCCCCCCAAAGCTGAAAAGTTGATAACCGAATGCTGGCGGTTTTGACTGGGAATTAAATAAACGAAAGGAGACTTTTGGATAGAAAAAACAGTTGTGAAAATGTATTTATTTATTTATTTATTTATTTATTTATATCTGCATATGACCAGATGCCACAAGATGTAGAAAAGTTGAATTATTTTTAAAAACATACCTGAAGGGTGTGTCCTACCCCACCCACCAATAACTTGCAGGAACTGGCTTTTTTTGACTAGAAATGAAATAAATGAAAGACGGTCTCTGACTTTTGGATAGCACCTGTTTTACCTGTGAAAATGTTAGACAAAATTGCAGTTTCAAAATTGTATTAATTAATTAATTTATTTATTTTTGCATTTTCTGCATATGACAAGATGAAAAAAAATGTATATATAAACGATTAGCAGCATCATTATTAAAAACATACCTGAAAGGCGTATCCAGCCCTGCCCACTCCGCAGGAAAAAAGTAGAATTATTATTAAAAATATACCTGAAAGGTGGGTCCAGCCCCGCCCACTCCGCAGGAAAAAAGTAGAATTATTATTAAAAATATACCTGAAAGGTGGGTCCAGCCCCGCCCACTCCGCAGGAAAATTAATAACATGCAGGAAATGTCTGTTCCCTACGGAGCCCCGTTGGTGACATCCTGTATAAATAAAAATAATGCGTGGCCACGACTTAGTAAGGCGTGGGAACGAGATCCTAATGCGTGGCCACGACTTAGTAAGCCGTGATCTCGTACCCACGCTTTACTAAGTCGGCCACGACTTATTTTTATTTATACAGGATGTCACCAGCGGGGCTGGAAATGAACTAAATGAAAGGTGGTCTCTGACTTTCGGATGGCACCTGTGTTACCTCTGAAAACGAAAATTACAGTTCCATTGTTTGTTTATTTATTTATTTATTTTTATTTTACCTACTTACTGACAAGATGTTATACCTAAAAAAGTAGAATCATTACAAAAAAAAATAAAAACAGAAATGAAGGGCGGGTCCTGTCCCGCCCACTCCTCCGCAACCCCGCCCACCACCCCCAGCGTGCGTGTGGGCGGGGGTTCGCATGAGTGGAGACAGCGAGCCGCTCGGGCTGAGTCTCGTAATTACTGCGCTCGGCTTTCGGTGCTAATATTTTAGGAGGACGAAGTGGCCGCAACAGGTTTACAGACGAAAAACTGGAACTGCAGAGCAGCCAGGCTGATAGAGAGAGAGCGATCGGGAGAGGAACGACAGGACGGGAAGGAGGAGGAGGAGGAGCGGAGGATTTAGACCGCAGAACATCCCACACTGCGCTCGCTCACTCGGAGGAATATCAGGGGGAGAAAGCTCGAGGAGCTCCAGCTCCGGCGCTGAGAATCTGCGAGAATAAGAAGACTCCAGTATGATGCCGGTGAGCTCACACGCTGTAAACACCCGCGAACCTGCTGACAGAACGCGTTCATCCTCTTTAAATGCTTTAAACTTGGCTGTGTCTTGTTATCTCGTTTACATCGCGTGTTAAGTAGCTTACAGACACGACGCGGCGACTTCTACGAGGGGCTTTTCCCTCACCGTCTAACGTGGAAGCTCGGAACCAGACGTGCGTGAGAACGTTGAGTACAACGCAGGAAGGAAAGGCGATGGAAAGAAAATCTATTTCGGCACACGTCACTCGTGTTTATCTCTTCTCGATCCCGCAGTCGTGCTCGCGTGGAAGACGACAGGGCGCGAGCTGTGGGCTCGTTGTTTTCAGCACCGAGCCGTGCCTGTAAGCCCTGCACGCGCTAAGCTCTGCACAGGTGCATGCACGGAACACCTTGAACCGTGTAGGGTTCAATTTTGGGTTTTAGAGCTTTATTAGACGTTCGGATCATGCAAAAATACAAGCAGGGGAAGGTGTTGCATCCCAACTGTGGCTGTAGCAAGTGTACATTGGGCTTTCCATTGTATAAGCGTGTTTTCCTCCCGGGCTGTGTATGTGCACTGCATACATTTGCCTTGTCTGGATGTGGATGCAGTGAATGGTCACCTGCAGAGCTGTGTTGTGCATGCATAACGCCTCTTTCCCCTGAAACGTGTCCAAATAGACCCCCAGACTGTCTGACCAACGCCATTCAAGTGCACTTCATTGTGATATGGCTCTAATAATCAGTGGAGTCCCTAGTTTTTATATATATATATATATATATATATATATATATATATATATATATATATAGGGTTTATATGTATGTACATGCATATATATGATGCTCCACTACTGTGTCTATCTGTAAAGCGTATCTGAGGTTTTGATCCAGGATCTAATTCCTTTTTTTGATCCTAAATTGTCCAGTACTAGCCTTGGGAACACCCATGCCTCACAGTTTAGATGCTCTGAAACATCTGACTGCAATGGCTACAGCATGTAAGTACAAGGCATACATGAAAATGCGCCAGGATCGTGACTGAAAGCCACTGGTCTTCAGTACCACACGAATGCTGACCAAGGTCATAGCTTGTCCAGCAGAAAATGAGAGCAGAAGCCTCATCCTTGTGGGCCACAACGCTTCATGATATGTCAAATGTAGGAAAATTGGTATACAGTTCTACAGTTACAGACTGTAGTCCATCTGTTTCTCTGCATACTTGGTTACCCTGTTCTTCAATGGTCAGGACCCCCACAGAGTGGTATTATTTGGGTGGTGGATCATTCTCAGCAGTAACACTGACGTGGTGGTGGCGTGTCAGTGAGTGTTGGGCTGGTGCGAGTGGATCAGTCGCAGCAGTGCTGCTGGAGTTTTTAAACACTGTGTCCACTCACTGTCCACTCTATTAGACACTCCTACCTTGTCAGTCCACCTTGTAGATGTAAAGTCAGAGATAGTAATGATGCTACTAGTGCTCAGTGTTCTTTTAGTGCTGACCAACTTTATACTTAATATCCACAATTTATTAGGATAATGATGATATATTGTCATATTTCCCACATCTGGAAAAAATATTTGAATTATATAGACTTCTATAACCATCTGTACTACTTTTGCTTCCTCATAATAATGTTCACAGCATGAATTCCAGGCTAGTTTATGCTGATCTGGTGCTGGTTCTGGGCACCCAGCATGGTCATGCTGGTTGACTAGCGTACCAGCATTCAAAACACAATATTTGCCAGTTTTGCTGGGTGACCAGCTATGCTGATACATACTATATTTTCTACCAGGGGTAGTATTTATCTGAATTAACTATATGATTCTTACAGGAGTACTGTAGAAATGCTTATATGGATCCTTTTTATCAGGAACATGAGCTCAAACGCGCTAGTTTGAAGAGCGCTAACTCAAGCTGCCTCAAATATTCAAAAAGCCCCACATGAAAAATGCAAAGTGGGGCAATAGACGTCGCGTCTACACATGGGTTACTGAAATAGCCACTCTGTGCAGTTTATTTGAATGTTATGTTACGGAAATACAGTTTTAAATGTGGGTAATTTCGCCTCTGTGTTGCTTCCTCTTGCTATTGACTGTAGCCCTCAGCTTGTTTATTACTCTATACTAGCATTTTGGGGAAGCTGTTTGGGGACAGTGTTGTAAAAAAGCACCATACAAATCAACTTACAATAATTAATTGTGGTTCTAGACCACTCTTAGGGTGAACAAATGGACCCCTGATAGCATTTAAGCTGTGCGCTGTAAGGGTGTTGTGTCTTTGCTATGGACACAGTTTGCTTTCTAAAATTAGCGTAGGCGTGTGGGGACACGTAGGACAATGCTCATACTCCGGACTGGGAATCAGACACTGTATAGAGCATTGAGACTGGGACTGGGTTGCTCTAGGATGAAGAGATTAGCAGGCTTTAGCATTGTGGGTCATAAGAAATCATTGTCAAAGCATATATATAAAGAAATAGTTTGTTAAAACAATAAATTTACTTCATTTTCTAAGTATAGTTTGATCAAAACGTGTTTTGGTGTCCAAAGTTTACATGTTTAGTTTCGTACTGGAGCCAAGAGGCTAATTTAGCCAATATTTGAGGAGTTTCCCTGGATCCTATATTCCCGTAGTTTTTAACATCCCAGATAGCGAGCATATATCGGTCCGCTGGTTTGAAAAGGTCGGCACCCCACTGACCGTTTGCCACTGCTGGTCCACCCTCGGACCACCCAGATTACTGTCCTCCATAGAAGCTGTACCTAGTTTTTAATCCCCTCAAACAGATTTTAAATGCACAGAGACTTTTCTTTTAGAAAATAAACTTATAGACAAATGTTACAAACAACTGAGAGGAAAAAAATAATGACTAGGCCTAAAATAGAATGATTTTATAGAAAACGTTGCTGACACTGTGCTGGATTAAAATGATTTACTAAACTAATTTACAAAGTGTAACTAAAGATAACAGTGAATTGGACTCTGAATGGAAAATGAGCGATGATAAATGAAGTTTTGCCTGTTGTTCTGCTTAACCGCTGGTGGGCCGCCCAGAAAACGCTGAGGAAAAAGCCAGTGGACCGCCAGCTCTGCCATCGGCGGGCCTACAGCGGTCCACTATCCACTCGCTATCAGGGATGATACGTTATCTCAATATAATACATTAAGATAACCTATGAAGCCCCTAAGGTCATGGTTAGGGTCCTGGGGTCACTGAAGGTCATACACAGTAGAACGATGAGCATATTTGGCGTAATTAGTGCTCAGCTAGGCTAAGCAAGGCTTACCTCAGTGAGCTAATTAGCTAGCTAAGCAAAATTTGTAATGCGAGCCATTTTTCTGAGACGTCAGAGAGTAGCGTGCTTAAACTTGGTGAATAATCAGAATATCAGAATATGCAATTTGGTAAAAATGACAGATTTTTCTTCAGAGAAAATTGATTGAGGCTGTATGGGGTCTCGAGGCTGTATGGGGTCTTGAGAACGCTGTTGTCTCGTGCGTTTTTAGCTCAACTCAAATACACTCGCTTATTAGAGATGTAACAGTACATTTATATTGAATTGTAGTGTAGTTTATCATTGAATTCACGTTATTGTATCACTGTATTGTGGCTAGCATGTGAGCTTGTGGCTAGTATACTACTTCGGTGCTAACATATTAGCATGCTAGAGCATGGATAGAGCTTTAGAGCCCCTATAAAGCACCGCTTTTGTTTATTATACTTTTATAAAGTCAAATGTCGACTTAACATCAGACACATTAGTCTCTCTTTATTATTGCTGTATCGGAAAATGATTAAATCTAGACGGCACTGTAATGAATCGGCTAATGAACTTTGTGAATCATTAGCTTATGTGGTTTCACTGCATAACATATTGTGGACAAAATGGAGGACAGTACAAACAAAATTCAGGCTTTAAGATGCCTGCTGCTACTGCCTTTAGCTAAGCTATAAACTCTGTCCATTTTTATAGATCAGAAAACATATACAAGCTGAAATATTCCTTAGGATCCGTCTCAAGCGCTTCATTCGGATATTTATGGATTCACATGTAGACTATTTCTCTGAAATGCCGCGTGGTCTGCTGGCTGACTTCTACTGAAGAGGAAATGCTGCTGAATTTGACTATTCAAACTCATAAGCGAGTCTGTTTAGATTATGTACATTTGATTTCTGACAGAACTGTTCCTTTAAGAGGGGTCTGTTCCTGTTTGAAGACTATGCTGGGCAGTGGTGGCTATTTAAATATACCTTTTGGACCACATATTGTCCTCACAGAGTGCTTATATTTATCTGGAAGGAGGAATACATTGTTTAGGCTGGAAATTGCTCAGACGGACTGCCATTGTGGTGAAAAAAGTAGAACTGGGGTTTCCCTGCTGGCTGACATTAGAGAACTAGCCTTGCATTGTTTCAACCTGAGACATTGTTTAAAAATGCATTTGCGATGACTGGGTATTGTTAGCACTTCCCTAGGGCAGCGGAACAGCTGGGCCGTGCCGGTCAGGGAGGGATGTCCCGTGCCCTGATGGTGCCTTCCTCAAGCCTCAGACAGCCACTTAAGCGGTCAGCAAGGCCCTGAATCTTAATTTCGTGAAGTAGTAGGCTTGACATGACAGCTGAATGGACGGGTGTCGTGCACAAGGCGGCTAAAACGACGTTAGTTTGTCGTAACTCGATTTTCAAAGCCTGGCCGGTTCAGAGGCTGCTCATTAGGAGCCATTCATTTCACTCGCAGGCCTGTCACGTTTATTATCATAGCAACATCTTAGCAAGACCTTAGCAACCACCAGGGATACCATAACAACAGCTTAGCAGCCACCTGACCCCATTTATTTGAGCTGACCGTGATTGAGCTGACATTATTTTCCACAATTTTTAGGCTTTCATCGTGTTTCTGCCACAAAAAACAAGGTTTTGAGCTTTGCGCTGGAGCTACAAGGCTAATGTAGCTAGCAAGTAAAACATATACCCAAGCAATTAGCATCGTGCTAACTGGA